TTGAGGTTGCTTGAAATGCAACCATAGAACCTAAGGTATTGTCAAACCCAGAAATCTGTAGTTTCCTATTTCAGATATTGTAGGAAGAATTATTATTACAGGATTGTAATCCTATAGTTGATTTGAAATATATCTATTATTTATTAATCTAAAATACAGAAAGAAATAAGAGAAAAAGAATTTCAAATCCTGATGTTGTCCCTGGTAACTGTAATGGGAAGGAGGGGAAGGTATGTATTCTATTTCAGCTCCCTAGAGACCTGGGGTAGGTGTTCTCATTCTGAAATGTCCGCCTCTCCTGTGTCTTACTGCCACCCAAAGAGGATGGAATTCAAAAGTCCTGCTCCTGGATGGTTTCATAGAGTAGATAATGGTGCTTCTGCTGGGTTTTGAGCCCAGCTGAGGAGTTCAAAGCTCTTAATTGTCCATCACAAATGTGCATGTTTGCTGACCCTGACAACTTACATGAGGATAAATTTGAGATTCTTCAGTCTTACAGAGAATTTATACCTACAGCCTTAAAGACTTGCCACATTACCTTTTTCTTTTAAGGAGACAAGCATTTTGACATGGGTTTGATTTCTTGTTTTCCACAGCAACAAAGCCATTGGAATGTTAGGGTGAGAGCATGCAAAATGGTTGAAGTAGATTAAGATTTGTTGTGTAGTTCATTGTATTGATCTGTGGGTTTATCACTTCATCTTTCCAATTCGTTGGATGTCAAAATGCACGTACAAATATAGCATAGTATTTTTTGTGTCTGTCATATTATTCTCAAGACGTGATTTTTCTTTCAATTGTGATTTTGTTTGTGGGGTCAGAATATTTATCCAGAGCCACGTAGTGATCTACCCAGGGAGAAAAAGATTTTCATGTACGATTACCTCCCCTTTATTTGTGCATTTATGAATCCTTTTTTCAGAAATTCTTATATAGCTGGTACTGCTGCTCAAATTGCCATGGCTTTTACAGAGAATAATGCTTATTGATAGTTCCCACATGCACTGGCAGGCACATCTAAAACCTGTACTTTTGTGTTCACAGCTTGCATAATATAGGATTTAGAGATTGCTTGTCAAACTAAGTGTCAGCTGAGTTTCCTAGGAAACTACTGAAGATATTTATAAAACTACAGATCAGCTTAATAATAGATATAATAATGTCAGTAGCTCATTATTTTTTTTTAACTTTATCAGTCCATTTTTCTTTAATTTGTTGGCAAACCAAACCACTGCATTTCCAAACTGATGACTGAAGACCTTCCTTCCAGTATCTTGCCTCATTTGTTTAAGAAAACAAAAATAGTAGTTCATGCTGTTCCATGTAACGAAATGTAGAACACCCTACTGTAAAATTAAGAAGAACCTAAATGTCGTAAAATTATCAGACTGAATCCTTTATAAATAAAAGCACAATTGTGAAATAGAAATATAAATATTTTATCATATGTTACAGTTTTAGTCACAGTTGAATTGAATGCATGAGTTTAAAGTTCATTGCACATGCATGCAAAGCAATCACTGCAGAATTAACATAAATTCCAAGTATGGGTTTCTATAGAAGCAGCATAAATAGCAGACCTGTCAGTATTCTGAAAAGGCATAATTCTGTGAAAAATAATTTTATCCCAGGGCTGAAGAAAACAGGATCTAAAAAGAGAGAATAAGTGACACCAGTGTCCATTTTTACTCATTTTTCTACTATTGTGTTTTCCTCACGCTGATTCTTTGAGTGGAGACAGGAGCCTTGCCACAGTTGGGAGGTATCTTCCCAGTTCAAGCACTTTACATTGAAATTTTAGTCATGTAAATTTAAAATTTGCTGGTGTGTATATATATGTATATTTATAAAAGAATGTATATTGCACCACAGTGTAATAATTAGAGGTATTTAGGATTAGTAAAATTAACATTCTTTAGAAAGCAATTTCGGAAAGTGATTCTAGTTTTCCCATTCTAATAATACAGTAATGGGAATGAAGTAAATGTATTTAGTAATGAGGCAGTACTCACTCCTTACGTCATCTGGAATCCATTACCTGTACCTACTATGTACATTTGCCTGTCAGAGCTATTTTTTCATACTGTGCTAATTAGCCAAGTAAGGAGCTTATATGAAGAATATTCAAGAGCCAATTTTCTTTCCAAAATGTAAGAGTATAGCTTTGTGTGTCTTAGTGTCTAGAAATCTCAGTGCACTTCTAATGTAGTTGCAAAAGAAATATTAAGAAGCCTGTCCTTCACACACTGAAAAGGTTAATTTTCTGTAAAGCTACAAAATTAGCCAAGTCTTAATAGTGGTTGCGTGTTGATGTATTGGAGTTAGTGATATCATTGCTGCTTGACACAGTGGGGTGGCAGGTAAAACCTGGTAAATCATTGCATTTATTTAATATAGATCACATGTGGCCAGCAACCTTACAAGCATAAAACATTATAGCTGCTATGTCAAGTGATGTTTTTTTAAGTGCATGTTATTTCTCAGAGCGCACTCTCTCTTAACTGTAGTGTTGCAGTTCAGGGTATTTTAAATGGATCCTTTTACCAGGAGGAGGCTGACAATTTCTAAATGAAAGACAACTTGGGCTGGCACATAGGACATCTAAATAGGACTTACCTCATTCCCAGCCTTGCCTTGGATTATTTGCAGTGTAACACTGTGTCCTGGGTTCAGCAGTAGCAGTCATTTTTCTCCTTCTTGGTAGCTGGTGCGGTGCAGTGCCGTGTTTCGATCTCACGGAGGCATTTTACTGACATGACCCACTTGCGGCCGTCAGGGGCAGTGATGGTCATTACTCACTCCTCTGTTCCTTACCATCATTTGCCTGTTTGGAACAAGCAAACCTAACAACCAGTAGCCTTCCTGATGTGCTTGGTTTATAGGTGTGAGAGATGTGAATTGGCACTAAATACCGTGTTTAATCATTTTGGATAAATTCTGCCAACATCACCTTGATATGGGGAAACAAGATATATCATCTCTGATTTATGCATTACTTCCAAAAGGAAGCATTCTGCAAGAAAAACAGAGGTTCACCCTGTCTTGTGAGGTTTGTGATGAGCTCTTATTTGTTCAGAAAGACTCCCTTCTGCCTACACTCTTAACCAGAGCCCTTCTGTGTCAGCCGTGGTTGAGCAGCATTTTTTCCCCTGACTTCCATGCATTTATCGATCCTGAGCTTGCGCTGCCCACAGCAGTTGGCTAGCTCTCCCTCAAGATCCTGCCCATTTTCTGCAGGCTTGTTCAACCTGCACTCAGAGACTGCACTCAGAGACCTGGATTTACCCCTCTACTGACCTTTTATCCTCTTGAAAAGTGCATCCTTCAAGGCCCATTGGATCAAATGGTGAAGAAACTGGAAAGAAAACTTCGAAATGGACTTTGAAATACAGGAGTGCTGCCTCAACAGCTGTGTTAAGGAGAACTACTCTGTGTTTAGGAAGAGATGCAGCTCAGAGCCATTTTGGGTTTGGGCTTTTTTGCCGCCTTTTATCATCTTGTGTGCTGCAAGCGTGAGACGAGAGTTGTATTAATGATAGGTGCGCCAGTTAAAAATACATCGCTCTGCTCCAGTGTCTGCATTACCTGTGGGAGTAACTGCAGTTAAGCTTTGCTTAATCGATATTCTTAAGGGGATGAAAATCACCTGACATACAAGTTTTAAGAGGCAGCCATCGTGTTGTGCTAAACAGTGATGTTTTAAACAATATGCTTAGCCATCATACCTTGATCATCCAGAAAGAAAAGCTGGATATTCTAGCTGTAGATAGTTCATTTTGTTTCCTTGTTATAACAATGGAGGCTCAAAAAGGAAAAGTAGTATAAGCAAATATATATGCAGGGTATATTCTTTTCCCTTCAGTTCGTGTCCATGGGAAAGTGCTGTAACAGTTGCAAACAGGCTTTTAGGGGGCATTTTTTCAACTGGTCAGTGTGTGACCCCATGTTAACAGTGAGCCACATTGTAAGTCAAGAGTTCATGGGTTTTTTTGTCTTTCCCACTGCAGTTAAGTAAATGCCACATGCACACCCAAGTAAAATGAGGAAAAAACTTGCCAGTTGATAAATCTTGATAATATTGTAGCAGGATGAGTCAGCTGGTGGGATATTCACTGCCAAATAGGAAATAGCAGTGCAGAAATTCAAGAAAGCTTATGTCACACGGGCAGTCTGGGGAAAATGAGTCTGCCAGGCTCACATGTAAGAAACATAAGAAATGGGTGGAAGTCAGAACAGAGATCCTGCCTATTTTAGCTGTACCTATAAAAATCACATTTTTATGTCCTTAATACTGCCATTCTGACATATTCTGGGAAAGAATTAAAGCTTGAAAAAAATTTAAATACTTCAGGAATGTGGTTTCCCCCCTTTTTTCTGGTTCCCTTTTCTCTTGTTCTTCCCTGCAGCTGAAAGGTTTTGTTTCACTTTATGTATCTCACCGAGTTTTGGCAACATAAAGAGTTAGACTAGTTAACCCCCACTTCATGTCAGCTTTGCTTTTCACTACTTATGCTTTGGTTGCAGTGTGTAGGGCAGCATGTAGGTCCAAAGCTATTTGTATGTATTAACAAGCATTGCTGCAACATGACTGAGACTATAGTTAACATAACATTATGCTAAATAAAGGCAATCCTTCACCCCATTTTCTTTTTTGAACCCCAAAATCTTTTTTATGTTTGAACAATCATATGTTATGACACAGGTTAGTCTTGGTATTTTTTAGTGGACCTCCAAAATTATAACATTTAATTGTATTTGGACCACTTGTGGCTACTTCTTAACAGTAAGTGTAGAAGTGCTGTATTGAAACAAAGTCTGGGTAAAAAGTCTTGGCTCAGGAAGTGTAACCTCAGTCAGTGTAAGTAAATCATTGGACTCACACCTTTACCATTGGATTTATGTTTTACTTTGCAGCAGGAGTCTAAACCAGAAAAACTAGTGAAAAGTGTTACACTAGACAGTATTTTTGGTCTCTAAGTGCATGTTTGTTTTTCTTTCAGCTTTTTAGAAAGAATTGACAGTGTCAGCATGGATGACTACACACCTACAGATCAGGTTAGTATAACTAATGGGGTAGGGTCTGAACCAAGACTCCCATTCAAATGAATTCTTTATGTAATTGATTTTAGTCCCAACAGTAGCTGAAACACTGCTTAATGTACAATATCAAAATACAGTCTAGCAGTTTAACTAGTGGATATTCGAGAAGAAGAGGCTTTTTGATGGTGCAAGCTTGTCTTATACTGTTGCTATATGTAGGTCGGTGATTCCTGTAATCTCTTCTTCTTTTCCATTCTGCATCCTGCAAAGTGAAGGAAACAGAAAATATAAATGTAAAAACCTACGGTTTCCCTCACCAGCCTTTGCTACACAGAAGCAGTGTTTATTTCAATGGTGGAGGTGATGGTAACCCAAAGGGAGGCTTCCCCTGTCCCTCAGAAGGGCCCTTCAGAGGCAAGAGCCTACAGTGGATCTAGTATCCAAATCCCAGGAGAGCACCAGTGGCAGCAGCAGACCTTGTGGACTTCTCTGCGGTCTTGCAGACTCTTCTTTCCAGCCTGTGCCCATCTCCTGTGGGCAGGACAGTTTCTATTTAAGCCTTATTTAAAGGCAGTACACTTTTCCCCAGATGTCTTGATAAGAGTGCTCTAGTGACATGGGGATGTATTTCCCCAATACGTCTTGATAGAATTCTCTAGTGACATTCAGGAAAGTTAATGCTGAAGTGATGCAGCCTTAGAGTAATAAAGAGCTTCACCATGGTGCACAGCTTTGGCTGCCTTCCCTGCACTCAGGCTGTGTCGTTTCCTTCAGCAAACTTACTCTGAGGTTGTTATTTTTCAGTGCTGGTATCCCACCGTCATCTGGTAGTCTCAGCCAAGATTGTGTCATAAACTGCAACTACAGGTGGCAGAAGAGAATCCCTGCACTGGATAATTCAGTCTAACCGTGTGGGGTGTATATAACAGGTGGATGCTCTTAAAAAAATACAGTTTCCAAATCTCATTTTACAATCAGGGAGTGAAATTCAGAGGAATGAATTGACTTGCCAGAGATCGTACAAGACGTATGTGGAGCAGAGCCTGCTCCTTCAGACCTAGTTAAGGTCTATAGCCACAAATCTGACCATATCCTGAAATAGGAGGCAGTAAAAAGTAGTATGCGTTGTATCAGAAGGTGAAATGTGTATAGTTGACCCAATATAGGATCAATTATTAAAGCCCTCAAGGCATTTGCAGACCAGAGCAGTAACTCTGGGATTTACTTCATCTAGACCTCATGGTCTGATTGTAGCATTGATATCACTCCGCTGGAGAGGGAAGCCAGTGAAGCAAAGCTTCATTTTTGCTTTCATTATTTATGTTAGTGTTGGCCTGTTTGTTCTTGGGAGGCACAACTCTACCTGGAGCGGTCATTCATCATCTAGAAATCTTTCCTGATACTTCCTTTGGGAAGAAATGCCCTATGTCTCCAAACATCAGAAGTATTGGTATTTGGCAGGCAGAAAACTTCTGCTCTAAAGCTCTCTTTTGCTTTTGGATTTTCATCCTATTATACTGGATCAGTTGTCCTGCTGAATTAACTGGTAAAAATCACTATTTTCCTTTTTTCCTTTGCTTCCTTTAATTTTTTTCCACCATCCCCAAATAATGACTGTGTTCAACAACAAATAAATGTCAGCAAGTGACAGAAAATGACATTAACAAATACAATAACTAAAATAATTAAATCATTGGCCTTCAGCTTGAGTTCATGCAGCTCCCAGAGCAGCCAAGGTTTGCCAGCCACCAGAGTACTTGAAGCAGTGGATGGTAGGGTAAGGGAAAAGAGGCAAGCTGCGCTTGGACTCCACACTGACTGCCTCCTTTCCTCCCTGCTTCCCTCCCCAGCTTCCTTGCATGGCAAGGAGAGCTAAGCTAGACCAAGCAGCCCTTCCCTTGCCCCAGGAAGGGATTGCTTTCCAGGCAGGCAGACCTGGCAAGGGGTAGCTGCTCAGGGGTCTTACCACTGCCAAGCAGCCAGCAGCTTTCTCCAGCCTCTGGTATAGTTCTGCACCCACTGCCCAAAGAGCAGTGCTGGATAGTCAAGGTTAAAAATGCTGCTGGCGATGGTGATGGCACATGATTGCCTGAGGTATGCATCACAAATTGCTTCTGCCTACTTCCTCTTAAGAATCAAGGAAATCGTTATTTTTTAATTATTAAAAGAATGTTATTTAAGTTAGGAAGTATTGCTAGTCTGAAAAATAAGAAAGAAATGCCAAATTTATGTACAACTTAAATTCTGTTCCCCTGTGCTCTGTAATAGAGCTTTAATTACTCAATCACAAGCTATTATTTCGATAGGATTCCTGTCTCATTCAATACAAAAGAGGGCAGAATTAAGGTTGCCTGGGCAACTGTAAATCTGGAGTTTTCTAACACTTGAATACTTGACTTTACAACATGAATAACATTTTTCTTAGTTTTATGTAACTTCAGAATTCATTATCCCTGTCACATACATAATTGTGTGACCATTGATAGCAGGTTTCAGTGAGCAGCAAGGAGAACAGAGGTAGGGTCTCCTGCTTTCTGAGAGTGCACAAAGCAAATCGGAGATGGTGTTTGCATATATCCACTGTGTCAGTATGAACAAATGCAGGTTTAACAGTAAGTCTGATTGAACTTGAACATAATGGAACATTTAAGACTTTTCATGGAAAATAATATATCATGCTTTTAAAAACAAAATGAGGTTACAAAAGTCCTTGCTAATCAGCTTCTGTGTTCTCATTTCCAGGACCTATTAAGATGCAGAGTGTTGACATCAGGGATTTTTGAAACAAGATTCCAAGTAGATAAAGTAAATTTCCAGTAAGTCTGTTAGTAATAATTTATGAATATTATGCTAATTTTTAACAACTTACTTCAGATGTCTGTGCTCATGTACGCTTGGTATAGTAGCTTTCAGGTTGGAGTTGGCTTGTGTGGGTTTGGTTTTTCGTTCTCTTCCCACAGGTAAAAGTTGCCTCATGCTTTGCAAAAAGAGCTGAGATTAGTTATATTTGTTAGTGATGCCCTGTTGTGGTGTTACGGCTGTTTTTACTAACTGGTTCGTTGGTATAGCACAGTAAACTCAAACAATACTTCTGGGGATAAGATCTCTTAGAAATCAGTGGAAATGCTGCCATGAGTCAGACTTTGTACAATGAGATGAGAGTTAAATGTGCCCCTTCTTCCAGAGGGCTGCAAGCTCTGCATTTGTCCGTTTTACATTGTGTCTCTTTAAAACACCCACTATCGGGCTGCTTCCACTCTGTTGACCAGAAAGGTGGTGTCACTGATGAGGCAGAGCTGCCCCAGGTCCTCCTCCTTACAGAGACACACTCTCCCTGTTATCCTTCAAAATACTCTAAATCCTGCCCCTATTTGTGGTACGGTAGTTCCAACCTTACATTGCAGCACTTCTGTGGGCTGGAAAGGCCAACATTTGCCCTGGAAAAGAGTGTATTTCTCATTTCATGGGTTTAGTAGCCTTCTCCTGGTAGAGCAGAGCAGGTAGAGCTGTGCAGCTCTGTGACATGCAGCACAGCATCAGCAGATCTCTCTCACCTTCAGATGGTGTTTTACTGTCACTGTCCTTGGCACTGTCAGATGTTTAAACTGAACCCTCATGCTGCATGCTTTGTGTGACTTTCCTAGTGCACATAAGTGATATAACATCCTATGGCTTTTTAACAGCATGTTTGATGTAGGTGGCCAGAGAGATGAGAGAAGAAAATGGATCCAATGCTTTAATGGTAAGTAAAAATATTCCACATGCTTTACTTTGAACTTGCTCTCTGAGATGTGAGCAGCTTAGTGTTCATATTCACACAAAGTGTGTCACTAATACATGAGTCCAGTGTTATAGTGTTACTTCCTTCAGGTGTTTTTGGCAGTTTGGGGAGCAATGGCAGTGTTACCCCAAGGAGTATATGCTGGGGTAACAGAGATGTTATTTTCTCTCTTCCTTTCTTTCTTTCTTCTGTATGCTCTGCCCAGATGTCACGGCTATCATCTTCGTTGTGGCTTGCAGCAGCTACAACATGGTAATAAGGGAAGACAATAACACAAACAGACTGCGGGAATCCTTGGACCTTTTCAAAAGTATCTGGAATAATAGGTAAAACATACCTCACTTCCCACCCACTTTCCCCAGTTTAGCTACAGTTCAACCCCTTACAAAATAGGACTCTCCTTATTATATGATCAGATTGTTTATTCAGAAAATGCCCAGGTAGGGCCAGCTAGCAGGGTGTCCCCGCAGTGCCTAGCCCTCCCCAGTGGGGGCTGTGGCACAGGGATGGTGCACAGTGTTTTGCTGCCGCTGCCAAAATGGTGCAGAGCATGGGGACAACTTGGGAAGAGCAAGCTCACCATGCCAGCTGCCACAAGGGAAGCAGGGGAGACCCCTTCCTGGCGTCACTGTGCTGCTTGGCCAAGGCTGAGAGCATCCTCCAAATCACATTTTGTCTCCTCCTCAAGTGCAGCAGCAGGAGCAGCTTGCTGTTGGCGTTGCGCTCGATTCACTCAATACCCGCGTAGGCAGCCACTCTTGTAAGACTCGTCTCTGAGAGCGCTCAGCCTCTCTGCCTTGTGGGATGATATTTCAGATCTAATCTAATTGTAACTGCCATTAAATTGCCATTCTGCCACAGTGCATGTAAATTATAGTAGTGTAACCAAATAGCAATCCGAACAGGCTCCTGATAGAAAGTGAAAACAATATACAAAATAAGGTAATGAAGTTCTCAGCACATACCTATGAGGATGCTCTCCACTGGGAAGGGATTTAAGGTAGAGGGAAGAAAGATGTTGAGTACAAGTTACAGTGATGGCAAGGTATTAATTTGGGGACAAAAGAGAGATTGTTTTCTTTTGATCCAACACATGTCATACAGTCCACTCTAAAAGGCAGGATATCTCTGTGGATGAACAGTAGTTAAGACAGAGCATGTTATCCATTTCCCAGTTCACTTTCAAAAGGATAATTTAGAAAACAATCTTTAAAGACTGTTCCCTGCAGCAGTGTCTACCGTGGATTTTTATGAATGTATTTACAGGCCCTATAAATATACCCACTAGCACAGGTACAACCTAATTAAAACAAGAATTTAGGTCATCTTTTTTTTTCTGTTGCTAGAGGCTTCACTCTCTATCACTACTTCACTCTCTATCCATGCAGGAATAGGCAGTAAATTATCTGTTGAAGTGATATGTTTTTCTTGTGTCAGAGCTAACACAAACATTTGGTTTGGTTTTGACAGGTGGTTACGGACCATTTCTATCATTTTGTTCTTGAATAAACAGGACATGCTGGCTGAAAAAGTCTTGGCAGGGAAATCAAAAATCGAAGATTACTTTCCTGAATACGCACATTATACTGTACCTGAAGATGGTAAGGTTTAAACCACAACAACTACACAGGGATTGGACCTGCTGGCATAGCCCAGCCCATTGTTCCTCTCTCTGTCTCTCACACGCAGACTCACAAGCATAGGCTTGTGCAAACTGTTGGTCAGGTAAGGAGCATGCCAGCAGCATGCAGCTCGGAGATGCCCCAGCTCAAGCAGGGTCTGAAGAGGTTCTGGCTGTTGGAGGGATGTGGGGAGGACTGCTGGGGGCTGGCTGCAGAGCACCTGCCTTCCCTTGTTTTGAAGCAACCCACAGTCCAGGGAAAGCAGAGCTGCCAGGCATGTCTCTCCCTGACAGATGCTTCTGCCTGGGCCTCCTGCAGTGCTGAACTTTGTTAAGGATTCATTACACTTATTTTCCGGCCATTCTGCATCCTCCAACACTGTAAACTTCAGCCTTTCAAATACTGATGGGGAGCCCAACAGACAAGAGGGAACTTTAATGGAGGAAAACCACATCCATAAATACAAAAAGCTGTGACAATGGAGCGATTAGCTTGGGTTTGGTTTCTTATCATTTCAAGAACTGCAATGATTCCTGCACTGCAGTAACATAGTGTGTGAGTAGACTCTGATGTTATGCCAGGCAGAGGGCTTCCTAAACACCTCAGGTCAGTGTCTAGCCAAAGGGGTAACACTTGCCCTTCTTGCTCACTAGCCTCTGCCTACACTAATGTGATGTCCCCAGTGTAGTGCTTGCAGCCAGCTGCTGGAATAGGCTTTCATTCTCCATTAACCATCAACAACAGCCTAAGTAATAGAAGTGAAGATGGTAATAAGCTCTTTTCAGCTTTCTTCCGGGTCTGGAATTTCAGGAATGTGATGCTGAGTTTCAGGTGGAGAGGATAAATAAATAGTCCTAAAATCTGAGTTTACCTGGCACGAGTTTTATAATGCTAAGGACTTTCAGAAGAAACCTTCTGTCACCATCACCCAAATTTCCCTCTCCCAGATACGCACAGCATACGTACAGAGTTTGGGTAAATGTTCAGCATTTTTACAGTGAGCCAGTTGTCAGAATAAAGTAGCTTTATTCTGGTGTTTCTTAGCAGGATTTAACAGCAGATATCCAGACTGATCCAAAATACTCACACAGGAAGCAGCTCCCTATTCTTAACCTGTTCATTTAGTCTTTAGTTTCAGCTGACATTAAGGACAGCAGCACTGAACTCTCCAATGCTGCTGATGGTGCTGCTGTCCACCCCTGATGCTATAGATAAAAAATATATTTCCATATTCTAATAAATTCTGCTTTTTAGCATATTATAAGCATCTGATCTATTATAAGCATCTGATCTGGTATCTTGGATGAAGAGAAATCACACGGAAGGGAAATGAAGAGGTTATCTCTTCACTGTATTGTTTTTTACACTTATAGTTGTTACATGGCCTAGATAGAGATGACTTCATCCGCTGTCAGTACATGAGTCTCCTACTTGACAAGAATTTAATCTAAGGACCCTTGATGGGCAGTATATCTAAGTATTCTGCTGACTTGGGGCCTGGCAATAATATATTAGATATGTGTATACATGCATTAGATATATTCACATATATTTTTTTTATATATGTATGTATATATATTAAAATATCTTTTGATGCTGTTATTTTTTTCAGGTGTAATCTCGGATTAACCTTTTTTAAACCCAAATTCCTGCCTGCAGAAGCTTTGTTCTGGAGATGCTGCTCTGCAGAAACTGAACAGCTCAGCTGCTTTTTCCAGTTGTATTTTCTGATAAGAGTTAAACCATAACTCCCACTTGTTTGGTATCTTTATGAACAAACTTGTGGATCTGAGTAAGCCCCTTTATGATATGACCAATGACATTGTTGCAACGATTCCAGCAATTTTCAGGTTCCTAAAATACGTTGAATGTATGGTCAGGTTTTACAGTACCCTTCCATTGTAGAATTACCTATTGGGAATCTCCTGTGGATATTTAACATTGTAGTTTTGTGTTGAAGGACTGCTTCCTCCTTACTAGATCTTGTATTATGAAAAGTAGATGACTGTTTGCTTTTCATGTTTCTGATGTCACTTATTTTTAATTGAACAGCAACACCAGATGCAGGAGAAGACCCCAAAGTCACAAGAGCCAAGTTCTTCATCCGGGATGAGTTTTTAGTGAGTAATTTTGGTCTTATGTGTGATTCCATCATAGGAAATACTGGCAGATGGCGTAGTTTATTTAGGGAAAACTGATGGGGTTTTGCAGAAAGCTAGAGGAGAGGAGAATGTCTGGCAATTCTCTGACTTTTTTCAGCTGTCCATCTTGCAGTGCTTGCACATTTTGATGCCCATTTTATATGAAGTCACCTGCCCTGCTCAGTGTCACAGCAAGTAAGTGCTGGTGCTGAAATCAGTTGTGTGAGCTTCTGCTTGTTTCCAGCCTGGGTGTAGGTGCCAGCAGCCCTCACTTTCTATGCAGGAGGACAATGCCAATCACTATTCCCTTTGCCAGTTAGGGATATTTTCTGAGGTTGTCTTTACCTGTAAGATGCTGCAGGCTGTTGCCTTGAATGTTTATTTTGTGTATCAATCCACTCCATATTTAAGCATATAGGCTGGGTTTCTTTATCCAGCATTCCTCCAAGGGCTTTGGCAGTGGTCAGCTGGCAAGAAGGAATGAACAAAATAGTAGATCTTCTCTTTAAATGAGATTCCTGCTGTGCCAGGTAGGAGGCTTGCCTCACCCCAGGACTGGTGTCGTGGCCCTGCTGAGGAAGCATAAAACGTTTCCTGTCTGGTCACAGTTATTCTTGCAGCTAAGGTTTCCTCCAAAGCTGGAGCTGAAGGACTCTTGACCACGTTTTGCAGATGCAAGCAGTTTACCAGGCACACACAGCTCCTGTTGGAAACAGAGGGCTCAATCCAGTATCACTTGAGTGAAATCATAGAATCATTTAGGTTGGAAAAGACCTTTAAGATCATAAAGTCGGACCATTAACATAGCACTGCCAAGTCCATCACCTACGGCTTCACTCGTAGAGTTGTGCTCACAGTGTGAAGCAGTATCAGGGACCAGAACCAAAGGAGTTTATTCATCCTGCCCTTCTGGTACAGACTGTATGGATGTATTTGAGAGAGGAAATTTAATCATTAGAATTAATAATTTTAAAGTCATGATGCTTTTACAAGTATTGTTAGGATTTACAGCTGTTGCTGTAACAAGAAAGAAAGAAGGAAGCAATTATCTGTGTTCATACTTTGGGGATTTCCATTCACCATGGCACAGGCAGGGACACCTTCCACTAGACCAGGTTGCTCAAAGCCCCATCCAACCTGGCTTTGAACACTGCCAGGGATGGGGTAGCCACAGGTTCTCTGGGCAACCTGTTCCTGTATGGCACCACCTTCACATTAAAGAACTTCATAAATATCCAATCTAAATCTACTCTCTTTCAGTTTAAAGCCATTCCCCCTTGTCCTGACACTAGATGCCCTTGTAAGAAGTCCCTCTCCAGTTTCTTATAGGCCCCCCTTAGGCACTGGAAGCTGCTCTAAGGTTCAAGCCCAAAAGGCTGAGTTTTCAGAGACAGGGGTACAGAGGGTACAGGGGAGGGCTCTGATGCCCTTAGCCAGGTGCAAGGAAGATAAGGGGTGTATTTTCTACCTATGGCTTTCTTTGCTCTGCTTTTCACATTTAAGTCTCTTCATTTGCGACCTTTTCCTCGTTCCACTTTGTTGCATTTTCAGACATGATTCAGAGAAATCTGGTTTCATTCATTTGGAAGCTTTATTGCCGTTTTTATCATGGTAGCGGGATTGCATAAGGTGTAGATACGTGTGAAAATCACTACCATGGTGCTGCCCCCATATTAAAACTCTACCTAGCTGTGGGCACTGCTAGTGGCAAATTTAAAGCATGTAATTAGAAGAATTTTGGAAGTGGGTTAAATATAAACATATTTCCAACAACCCTTGGTGCACAGTAGCATATGAGTATGAGGAGGGCAAAATATATCAGCTTCTGATTTCAGGATTGATGTGCAGCATTGGGTTTTAGCAGTTTTACAGGGGATATTACGATTTCCCTCTGAATGGGTGCTAAGTAACACTACTGTTCAAAATGAATTTTGAGTAGGGGTGAAAATACTGCGTTTACGTTAAGGTGGGAGAATCCCAGTGCTGTTGGGACCAAAAAAAAACCTTACATTTTGAAAATACAACCTTTGGCATGCCTTACATGTAACCACGTGTCACCAGTACATTGTGGGCAACTTACTACATTAGTGGAATCAGTGCATGACAAACACAAGAACTTAGTGAAAGAACACTTATTTTACTGAAATACAAGAAAAAAATGGAACGTGGGGGTCAGTAGAGTGATGTGCTCCCTACTGCCCGCATCTGGGTGGCACTGAGAGCGTTCGTACATTACCCCTCGCTGTCAGCATGTAACGTTTAGTACTAGAAAGAGCTCATCAGAGTGGGAGTCTGATCCCCCTCTCGCATCATTACAGCGTGTAACTGCATGTTAACGGAGTTTCAGCATTTTGCCACCATTGCAGCAACCTTTTTTCTTCTTTCATTGTTGTACGTGCTTCAAATATGCTCTGAACAACTTATCCATCAATTGAATACGCTATTGAATTAACATTTTGCATGAGGGTAAGCTTTGAACTAGGTGTTGAATGTAGCTTAGTAAGGAGAAAATAATTGTTAGTATACATATGGAACACCCCCTGTTGAATTAGTGTTGAATATATAATGCTACTGAGGTTGCCTGGAAAAAATTGTAATTTCTTGTGGATCTAGTAATGTAAATCATGGCTTCTAAATGTCTGTAGTTTTGCATATTTGTAGCTGGAGGTATTTAAAAGGTCAATCCTGTGTGTAAAATAAACCACTGTATAAAAAATACATAGTGCAGCCAGAGAGAGAAAAAACAGTGTTTTGTTCAGCCAGTAAAATTTGTAATAAAATCAGGAAAAGTATTTATTATTAACTCAAGAACTGACCTTCTACTTTCATATAACATTCCTTGTATGTCCTTCAAGTTAATGATCTAGAATGGATTTATATTTATCAGTCCTGTAAGTAACACAAGATAACCACGGGTGAAGTGATGCTGGAGACTTAAGTTAGCACCATACAAGAGTGTGCAGCAGCCTTGCGAATTTTCATGGTCTGATTTTTACTGGATTTGTTTGTGGTTTATTATTCTGTGGGAATCAGATCACTCTGGTGGTAATTCCAGCATGTTCTGGTCTCAGTAATGGTACTAAGTCTTAACGGGTACTCGAAGTGAAGGTAATGTCAGGGACCTTCAGCTTCCAGAAGTGGAAGAATGCTGTTCTCTGCTACTCCTGGTTTTCAGTTTTCTGTTGCTGCTTTAAAAACCAGAGCACAGAAATTTGCCACATGATGACACCAAAAAAAAGGAAGAAACAATAATTCCTGGGACAGCTGCATGGCAGACCGCAGTGCTGCTGGCAGCAGCACGTATCAGCTGCACAGTGATGTGCAAATGGTAACAGGTTGTGCAGATGATGACAGCATCAGTGGCTCTTACGAAGTACTAATACACTGACTCTGCCGTAGTATCCTCAACTTTTTTTAGTCTCATTTCATAGTTGTGACTCACATTGGACCAGACCACAGACTTTCCTGCTTTTTCTTTATTTTAATAATCTGTATATAGAGTTTTCCAGGTTTCTTTGTATTCCGTAAATGTATAGAAGCTTCTCATGGCAAGGCACCTGACCCTTTCTTTTCCCTTCATTTTTTCCACAGAGGATAAGTACAGCGAGTGGAGACGGCCGGCATTACTGCTACCCCCACTTTACATGTGCAGTGGACACAGAAAATATCCGCAGGGTGTTCAACGACTGTCGAGACATCATTCAAAGGATGCATCTCCGCCAGTACGAACTCTTGTGAGGGGGCTCACCGTGGAACCTGTGGTTTTAAATTCTTTGCTCCTTACTCTTTCTCTTGATACTACCCCACACAGGGTGGAGGAATATACTATAGAAATGTCAGTCTCTTCACTTTGTTTACTTTAATTATTTAACCTTAAAGCTGATTTGAAGCAAGTTTGGGTTGGTTTTCCTTCATGCTTTTGGGGACTATTTTTGTGCTTTATTTTGACATGCCACTTCTTCGTCATTCCACTAAGCCCTTCGGCTACCTCTGTTCCCGTAGGTTTTGTGTTTTTAACTGAACGTGACCTGCTAAATTTTTCCAGCAGGTTAACATCAGTGCAAACTGGTATGTCAGCTGGATGACACTAAAGTCATAGCTTATCCCTCTGTGTGGGTTTCCTTTTTAACATGACATTGAAGAGTACTTGATGGGTGAAAAAAAAAGATTAATGCACTTTGTATCAGGTTATTAAATACTGTTGAGGAAGTAGACACACAATGTAGCAGCACCACAATATTTATTACTCTGTCACAGTTTTTAGCATTTCTGAGTTGCAGGTCAACTGATAAAGTGACCTCCTCTTTTAAGCCGTTACTGGCGCAGGAAGTAGAGTAGATAATGAGAGGAAAAGTGAAGACAAAGCAATTTTTCTGGGGTTTTGGAGCTAAGTGTCTCTGCACACCTCAGGCATTTGAATTACAGCTACTTTTCAGCCTGTTGCATCTAGGCAGAAACTTTACCACCCTCACTTATGTTATTTGTGCTGTCCACAAATGATCCTTTTAGTTCAGATCATTCTTGGACAACAGTCCTCTCCCTATATATATTTTTTTGTTTTACTGCTGGTTTATTATATTGTACAGACTGTAAAATGTAATATTATTTTGTACAACTTTATTGAAGAAAAATACTTGTAGAAGATCTTTGTGCCTTGATTATGGCTGTACCTGTAAAATGAGCTAAGATGTAAGTATGTTTTTGATTGCGCTGTACAGCTTGATGTCAACCTTACCTGCAGCAGTGACTGGAGGTAAGAACTTTATCTGTAGAGTTTAGGGGTTTTTTTCTGGTTTATATAAAAATGCTCTTTAGTATAAAAATTATAAATTATGCAAATTAACCACTTACCTTTCCAAGTAAGGTATTATTACAGTCACCGGATGTTGCAGCAAACATGCCTTTCTCTTTTGAAGCCTCAGCTTTAAAACATTGGAATTCATTCGAGTGTCCAAATTGCAACCTGGTGTTCTTTTAATGGGAACTAAGGATTTCAGTTTCTTCTTTTTTCCTTTCGATTTAGAAAATATGTTTGGTAATTCTTTGGTCATTCATAGAACTTCACAATTGCACAGACCGATTGTGAATGTGTAAAGCACCATTATATAGAGCTCTTCAACCTTTGTACCAACAGCGGCTTTCATTGTGCAAGTAAATAGCAAGAAAGAAGAAAAAAAAACTAAAAACAGGTGTATAAACCCTTGTGTCTGGCCTAAGAGAATTACAAGATGACATTTTTATTTCTCTTTTAATAAAGAGACACATTAGAAAATTGTTTTTATTTTAAATATTGTAGAATCAAAATGTGTGACTATTTCTCAAACTTGAATAATTTATGCAAATGACATTCTCAAAACAAGTTGTGGTACAGTACAATATATAAAAGCAAGAATTGCTGTAGCAATAAGGCATGTCCTTTTTAGTAACTATAACACTGCTTTATATTTTATACATAGGTGTTTTATGTCTGTGACTATATACTTTTCCTGTGTCCAAGATAACCTGTACAAATGTCTAAAATTACAGTTGCAATAACAGAAACCTAGAGAAGTGTTAGACTACATTACTTTATAGAATGTTTTACCACACTTCGGACCATTCCCCCACTTTGTTTTAAATTTAGAGAGAGATTAAGAGCTAACAACAAACACATGCCCCACATTGGCATATAAATCAGCAGGTTTGATTAACTTCTTAGTATAAGCATTGTTATTAGTTATAAACCCCAATCGGTCACCTTTTCAAATTCAGAGTACAGGTGAATTGAGAACTTGTTCCTATTGGATGCTATACAGTCCCATTTTAGATACTGTGACCATTTCCTCTTCCCAGAAATGTCTGTACTTTGATATCTGTACACTCAATTTAGTCATCAGATAATTTCCAGAAAGCGACAGGCTGGGTGGAATAAGTGAATAACAAATAAAATTCCCCAAAGATTTTCTCACTTCCCGTGCCAAAGAAAGTAATAGAGTGACTAACAAAAACTAGTCTTGTCTTTAAAACAGGCTCCAACCCAGGAGTTCAGGTCAGAGCTCCCAGCCTCTGCAGGAATGCCAGCAGGAACACTGGTCCTGGTGTGAAACAGTCCCTCTGGTTCTTCTAGGGCGGGTGGGGAGAAGCTTCCCTCCCACCCAGCACATGAAGATGCTGACCTCCGCCTCCCCGCAGAGGGGCTAGTGCAGTTCAAATTGTGACTCTACAATAAAGTGAAAAGAACTTGGCAGCCCAGCAGGAATCCAAAATACGGTGCATTCCTATCCCTATTTGTCCATAGACTGAGGGCCAAGGCATAGGATAATGTTACTGCAGCTGTATTTGACCTTCCTTCTTGCAGAAGATCGGCAACAGGAGGGCCCCTCACCACGCAGATCTCTGGGATGCAATAGGGCCCTCTTTTTTTAAGCTCATCATAGCACATCTTTTTAAAAAGAGCAGCTTGAGGTGTCACCCTATTTTTTTTTAAGCAGGTTTCAAGTGTGTATCAGCAAACTGGATCCATGAGCTTCTTGTTGTTGTCTGGTAGACGATAACTGCAAACTGTAGTCAGCTAACAACTTAATGTGTCAGGAACTGGTAGATTTCTTGTCCCATACCCCAGTCCCTTACATACAACATCCTAAAAAGGTTACGGAGATCCACATCTCTCCACGCTGATGTATCTAGTTTCTGCCTGACCCTAACAAACAGGAGTATGACATTAGAAGGGCCATGCAGCAATAAAACAGAGAAACATTTCCAGTTTGCAGGACTGAGCCTCCACCAGGGTAAGACACTAGTGCAGACAAGTGATGAGGCTATTGGATTTACATAATGTACAGTTACACTTTTAATATACATGTTTGATACAAAAATTATAGCAGGAAAAGGACTCATTTGATTGTCGAATACAGTATTTTTGTACAGCATGAAACGCTCATTTCAGTTAATTATTTATCCTGTAGTAGTCATATCAGCTGTATAGGACTTCTATGGTATGTGTAAATGCAACCTGCCTTCAGACTAGCAATCAAATTAGGTCATTTGCTGGCATGAATATAGTCTGATGTTTGACTGTTCTCAGCTTTGGTATTTCAGTGACTGAATGCAGATGTCTGGCTCTTCATACTGCTTTATGCTTACTGATTAAACGCTGAGCAAAATAAAATGGTGGAGTGAGAAGCTGAAAATGAGCTAGTATCAGGATTACAAGCAGAGCACCTGCTGCACAGTATATAGTAAAGACTCTGCTCTCATATGGAAGGAAGCATTTTTGGAGGGAGAAGTCTGTCGGTGTTATGCTGCCCTGGAAAAGAAATGAAGACTGTCACTTTGCTGTTACAGTGGTTCTGAATCAGGAGTAAACACCACGACTGTCAGCTCTCCAATTTCTAAATTCTGTGTTGGGTGGTAAGGGTTGGGGCCAGTTTCCTAGTACCAGTGCCTTCTCCAGGGGGCTGAAGAGTCCGTACCTTGTGGTGCTGGGCACTACCTGGAATAGTCACCAGGCCAACATTAGCCCAGGGGCCAATCTTCCCTCTATTCCATCTAGCGTAAACAGAGAGCTGGGCTCCTCATCTGATCTGCCTTCAAGAGAAGCCTAACTTTAGCTGCTGTAAATGCACCTGGAAGGAGCCTTCTCAGGCTGAAGTTAGGTTTTGTGAATGTGCCCCTTCCTCCCTCCAGACCCTCCTCCTACCCAGTACATGCTGCAAAAACCACGTTGGCTAACCCAAATTATGAACGCGAACGTCAACGACAAAGAACTCCATCGGGTTTTGGCTTGACTTTGCAGTTCAAATTAAAGTTTACAACGGAGCGAGACTGAGTGAAAAGAGTAGTGAAGATGATGCAACTTTAATTAGCCAACCTCTTGTTTTGCAGTGAAGATGCGCTGTCTGGCGTGTGCAGAGAGCATGTGTAGTTTTGAAGGCAGCTACTCTCAGGAATATGGAATAAACAGAACTACTTTCAACAAGAAGTATTAACAGTTGCATAAAATGAATTTAAAAGTTTGGGGTTATCTGTGTATCAAGCAGCCTAAACTCAACAGCAGTAGAAAAAACACACATGAAAGATTTCCTCCCCCGAGTCACAGACTACGCTGTAAGCAGATGGTAGGTTTTGCTTCTTACTCCAAGTTTCTAGGAGTTCTGTTTTGTTTTTGAACTGGGGAACTAATTGATTTACCTCTTAAGGATATACAGAGCACTGGAACTGCCTGTGAGAGCATAACCAACAACACTGTATAAAATGTGAATTTGAAAGGAGGAGGCAGACTATTGGCATGTGACAAACGTTTTCACCCTGTGAAGTGGTTTAATGCACAAGTTTGGAAACCGCCATCACCGCGAGAGAGAGTTTGAGGTGGAGATGGTCTTGTTTTCATAGTTGGTAAACCAACCAAGCCAAACTAGTCTTTCTACTGTTCCGTGCACAATACTGAATATTTTTACAAGTCAATAGTTTACAATGCACCCTCTTTATAAGGAAATGTTAGATGCTTGTACCCAGATACTAATTAGATCTTTAAGGGCACTGCTTTGTACCACACAGAAGATGTGGCTCCCACAGATGGACTTTCTGAGGTGGATGCAGTGTACGGAGTGGGTTGGGTGGGTAGGCAATTTTTTATTTTTTGTTTTTCCAGGTAGGATCAGTTCAATTCCAGCTGACTGCCATGTTGATTTATTTATGGAAGTTACCTGACAAAAATAAAAACAAATTAAAACTTACCATGATGAAACTAGGGTTGTTTCTATTCCTCCAACTGAATGACGGGACGCTGACTTCTGGGATTTTCCCCGCGTGCAGCACTTCACAAGCACTGTGTGTATGGCCACTGAGAATCAAACGGGGATGAAACCACCATATCAGCTAGAACACAAAAGGGTAAAGCACAAGAATTAAGTCATAAAAAAAAAAAGGAGTAAAATGAGCTTAAACGCTTTTTTGTTCCTTCTAGCAGAATGAAATATGGCAATTCTAATACTCTTACAAGGTGTTCTGTGTAAACTTTTGATTTCCAATAAGGTGTGTGTTGATACTGTAATATTAATCATACCCATTGCCCCCCATTCCAAATACTGGACATTCTGGGACCCTCATTACAAGAGAGACATTGAGGTACTGAAGCAGGCCCAGAGAAGGGCAACAAAGCTGGTGAAGGGCCTGGTGCACAAGTCCTATGAGGAAGGGCTGAGGGAACTGGGGTTGTTTAGTCTGGAGAAGGTTCAAGGGAGGACCTTACCGCTCTTTACACCTGAAAGGAGCAAGGAGGTGGTTGGTCTCTTCTCCCAAGCAACACATGACAGGATAAGAAGTAATGGCCTCAAGCTGCACCAGGGGAGGTTTTAGATTGGATATTAGGAAAAATTTCTTCAATGAAAGGGTGATCAGGCATTGGAACAGGCTGCCTAGGGCAGTGGTGGAATCACCGTCCCTGGAAGTGTTCAGAAACTCTGTAGATGAGGCCATCAACAATCACAGTACATAAAATACAAAATGCTAAACTGGAGGGGACAGCACTGCAGCAGGCTTACTTAGGAGCACTGGGACTTACAGCCTGTACCTGGGAAACCCAGCAGAATCAAAGCCATGATCCTCAGGGGAGCAGTTCTAACAGGCAGCCTCTCAAAAGCCTCATTAGAGCAGGAGCAGCTGTGGTCTGTTTTGTCTCAGCTAGCACCCTTTCCAAAATGTTTTAATCTATAGATATCTACACTTGTGTCCCCCACCCACTGATACTCAGGTTTCCAATAAATCAAACCTTTTGTGATGCTTCCCGAGACAGGACATCATACTTCTCTTTAAATGGGATGTTCTTCTCCTCTGGAGGAGCAGAATCTTCTCCAGTGCATTCAGCATCACTTTTCCGATAGAGAGGGTAGTGCTGGGAGAAATTCAAAGCAAGGATCAGTTGTTAATGAGTCAGCCTTTCTGGAACAGTAATAAATACGCTAAAAACATGTCAGAGTGTTGCCTCACCCCACCTCTGACACACCTGTAGAAGGATGGGTTCTGAAGCTGGAAGCTTTTCCACATCACTGCATCTTTTGTTGGAATTACTTGGTTTCTGTGAAAAAAATAAATCCATATATATTGTCTTCACCTATGTGTACCATAGGAGCAAGGAGGGGAATTAAAAAACAGCTACATTTGAGGAGGTGGGGGGTGTTACAAAAAGCAGTATCAGCTCACAGTATAGTGTTTAAACACTGTCCACTGTACAAAGTTTTAAGAACCTCTGCTATGGGTAGAAAGGGAAATGCTTTAATTCCCCTTTCTGTATATGCTGCAAGTACGGCTGCCGTCTTCCTGAATGCAGGAAGCAACAGCAGAATCTCACTGCACAAACAAAAGCAAACAAAATTTAGGGCAGCCCAAGAGACAGCAGTTGAGAGCCTGGCAATTTTTCCACTGGGAGCTGGTTTCCTGATTGACTGCCAGTGCAGTCAGTCATGCTGCCTACTGTGCATCCAGTCAGCCTGTGAAAAAGGGAGGAGTGAAATACAAGCAGCAACTGGAATTGATGAAAAAAAAAAACTACAATTAAAATATTACCAGGACATCAAGACAGGACTCCAGCTGAATCAGAAAAGCAAAAAAATAGGCTAGCTTGAAAGGTATGAAACAGAACAGCATTCATAAATATAAATGCAGGGATTGGTAGGTATTGTAAGTCAAAGGGAGGGTTACAGAACTTCTGCCATTCCTTGGAACAAAGGAAATGACACCCTCTGTTGGGAGCACTGACAAGGAAGTTAACACCATTAAAGCAAAGCATCACAGTTAGTTAACAGGTAAAAATGTTAAGAGACAAATGAGGAGAAGATTGGTAACAAGCTGCAATGCGAATATTAACTTTTCAGGAGAGTCTTAGTTACACCCTGACTGTTGCTGCAGTATCAGTATTCCCACTGCAGCAGCCAAGCTGCTGGCTATAACCGGATCTTTAATAAACCCTTACCTGCTGGGAGCAATTCAGTTTGTGAGAAAGCGCCACAAGCCTTGCCTCTGTGGTACGGCAGAGAGTACAGCCATCGCCCTCCATGGCCACGCTGTTCACCAGGACAAAGCTGGAAAATACCAGGGAGTGGGCAAAGGGAAGCAGGGAAGACAGGAAAGCATTTGCTATTCATGCACATATGTGGGATAAACTTCAGTTCATAAAATGCAAGTATTCTAAAGTCAGGCACAGCTCAACAGAACAGCTGCTGGAACCACGTACTGTAAATCCTCTTTTGAGTGTCCACATTGTAGCTGGTTTTCTACCTGGTAGGCTGCTTTATGAGGAGTTGTTTATCAGGTTGCACAACATACTGTATGCTAGGCTTCGTGTTTACATCTCAAGATCTTTTTTATAACAAATACTTAAGTGGCATTCTACTGGAACATTAGAAGCCACTAAGCTGAATTCTGAAGGAACAGAGAACTTGCTTCTCTCCCCACACACATTTTAGACTTCAGAGATGTAATTTTCAACATTCAGTTTCTTCAGAACAACTGAAAAGCAAAACAACACTGCATGTGGCTGGCTCCCCTGAACAAACTTAGTTTCATACTTTGTGGTCTCTCACACAGAAAACAAGATTTTATTTGTAATCAATTTAGATTTCTAATCAATTTAGAACTTGTGCCACAAGATTCATACCTGTTTAATCACTCAGGACCCAAGATAAATTCCCACTTCAGTATGTTTTATTGACATAAATGAACTGAATGCTTCCACTTAAAGAGATGCTGGTCAAAACTAAAAAAAAGTCAGTTTTGTTTTAGCAAATTTTGTACCACAAATTTGTCGTAAGATAGTTTATCTAGGAATATTTCATTAATAATGCAGCTCATCTGTTAATGAACATGATACCAGACATACAGTCAGCAACTGCATGCAAGAATTCTGCTGCGCTGTTTTATCAGAGGGGACATGGAGATATTCCTTAATATATATTATTTAAAACAGCTGAAATACATATCCAGGGGACCCTGCACCATCTGCATGATAAACAATAGCGTTATACTGAGCAGTCACAAAGCTCTTCCTAAAATGACACACCCTTTCTAGACCTGTTCAGAATATTCTTAATGCTTGCTTAATTAGGGGAACCTGTGCAAACCTGTAGGTTTTGAATCCTACATTTACATGAGTCATTATAACCTGATGGCACACACGCCAAATGAAGGGAAGACCTGTTGCCACTCTGCATGTATCTGAGGTTTAAAGACAAATGCCTTTCCACAAACAAGCTATTGCTTTCTCTTATCGAGTTCCTGCCTCATATCTACAGTCGACTAAAGGGGCAGAGGGCAGGCACTGCAGCCACAGAGACGTAACTAAGCTCTTTAGCACGGTCTACCCTGCGTTAAAACCAGCTTGTGCGCTATTACCCCACCCTGTGGAGAAACTGTGAACAACCAACTATGTTCCCAAATCAGTTTTCTGCAGACTAAAGAAGTTATTAAAATTAACTAAACTTTTAACTTGTAAGTACAGAGGGGATTTGTTTGTGTTTCTTTACTGAATCCTATTCTTCTGTTATGTTAACAGCCATGGGTCATTACCAGCTGCAAGGAAGTAAAAAGGTAAAACGGAGAATTTGATCTGGACTCCACAGTAGTTTTTCCATTTAAAAAGATTTGTTCTAAGTTACCCTGCTCAAAGTACAGCTTCCACTCCATATCAAACTGTAGGTTTGTGCAAAGTGTTTTATGTTTAACATATCATGAGCTAGATGCAAAGTTTAAAAAAGGGCTCTAAGTTAAGCATTCCCATACTACTTCTTTAGAAATTCCACTTCCAGTTGTCATCACCCTGGTCTGCTAGCTCAGAAAATCACTACTCTAAACATTAAGATAAATAAACAAATATACTCACTTTATTCCTTTTCGAGTTATTAGCTTTCCTGAAGTAAAGTTGAAAGCCTTTCCAAACCGGTTTACTTTGTAAGTTGTCATTCTGTGTCACAGAGCAAAAATACAACTGAGGTGAGAAACTGGCATTGTAAATCATCTGACACAGCTGCTTTAGAGTTTGTACACCACTTGTGCAGCTTGCTGCTCCATTACCTAGATCAAATTCATTTGCTTATAACTCACAGGGATGCTCCAACACCAACACCAGTCCCACCAATGTAAGCACAGCCATGGTACAGAAGTACAGCAGAGCCAAGGCACTTACATTCTTCTGGTTCAAGGTATCAGGAAAGGGAATATGCTCAAACTAAACACTTCTCTGACAAAGAGGCCCAACACAAGGAAAAACAGCTTCCAAGCTTCTCTGCCAATGCAGAAATACCACCTCAGAAAACTTCACATATGCTCAGAGAAGCTTAAAAGTAGCCTGAAACCTGTTCTGAAATTTATTCCTAGGGTCTATGTGCACAGATGGATACCTTTTAAGGTCTTGCTCTAATTCACAAAACCTTCTAATTTGGTTATGATCAAAAACATTCCATCTAACCACACAAGAGGTTACTCAGACACAAAACCTGTTACTGTACGCATGTTGACGTTTCATTCTTGGCACTTGCATAGTCCTTTCACTGACAAGACTTACTCGTAATGAAATCCAATGTCGTGATTCCCAACAACAACCACCAGCTCAGTAGAAGCTGGGAACTTAAACATTTTCTGAAATCTCCTGACATCATCTGCCCATGCCTGCATGAAAAAACAAATGGAGAAATTAATGCTGTTCAACAGTTCCAAAGGGGACCACTAATATTGCATTGGGTTTGTGTGGCAAGGTTTTGGTAGCAGGGGGCCTGCAGGGGTGGCTTCTGTGTGAAGATGCCAGAAGCTTCCCCTGTGTCAAACCAAGCCAACGCCAGCCAGCTCCAAGACAGACCTGCCACTGGCCACAGCTGAGCCCATCAGCAATGCATAGCGCCTCTGGGATAACAGATTTAAGAAGGGAGGAAAATAACCCTGGCAACAGCAGTTGCAGCTGTGTGAATATGCAAGAGGAACAGCCCTGCAGACACCAAGGTCAGTGCAGAAGGAGGGGTGCTCCAGGACTTTCTTTGGATTTCTCACTCTGATTTGATTGGTAATAAATTAATTTCCCCAAGCCCATGACAGCAATTGGTGAATAGTCTCTCCATGTCCTTATCTAGACCCTTTTTGTTGTATTTTCTCTCCCCCATCCAGATGGGTATGGGAAGTGATAGAGTGGTGGGCACTTGGCATCCAGCCAGTCAGCCCAACACAGGTATGTAGCATAGATGCGCATGCAGAGACGCTTACACTTTGTTAGTTTCATGAGGGGGAAATGTGTCAAGACACTACCAAGAACAAAGGAGAATCTCAACATTTCCATTTCTGTCTAAAACACCAGAAACGTCTTCTACCGGTAGGACAATTGTAGTAATATTAACCAAAGCCTTGCATACCTAGTCTGCTTTCTTGTGTCATCCATCTCCTTCAAGAAATCCTCATTTTTTGAAATAGGAGAGCTGTTGATGTCATACCTGAGGTAAGCTCCATTTTCCTTCATCGAAGACATCTCCCAGAATAAAAACAATATCTGGCTGCAGTAACCATAAGGCAGTTTGGAAAGACCTCTCCATTTGCCATTCCCTGAAAGGAAAATACAGACCCAGACATCACCACTGGATCCTCTACTCTGAACACACAAAAAAAAAGCCTGGCAGGAATGGGAAGATGGCTCCTCCACACTGAGAGTGCCAATATGAAATTCAAGTTACATACTTAGAAATCAAGTTTGAGTACAGTCAGTGACTTTTACCTGGTGGGTATTTCTACCACAATACAACACGCTCACCTCATGCAAGAAGTAAGACCAGCTTGTTTATTTTTCATTACAATTCCATAAAGCAGAAATTAATCAGAACAGTGAATTATTGCTCATGGTTAACCATGCTATTGTTTCTGCAGCAGAAGTTTATAATGTTTATCTTATACTATAAACTTAGTACTTTCTGTCAGCATTCTGCTTTTTCTTTTTTGGACTAACAGAAACATGGGTTTGTAGGCATACGACTAGATTATCTTTCGTTTTAAATGGCATTGTTGCCTCCAATTCTTCTGCTACAAACTTCTACCGGCTTCCTTATCTCTGCAATTAAAGGTATTAACAATTGGGATACCCAAGTTATCTTGGATGCCTCATTTTTAAGGCATTTTATCAAACAGTTACATACTGGAAAAGACTTCCTGACCCATCAAAAATCCTCAGGCATCTACACCCACATACTACCTGAATATTCAAGACTCCTCTGCCTCAGTAAGCCCCATTTATTAACCTTTCTGACACTGGTTTATTACCCAGCACAGATCCAGATGGGCAAGTCAGAGGCAGCATTCACACTTCTTACAAACACCACATCAGTTTAAACATCTGTTCCATTAGCTACTATTAAAAATGCTAAAACCAGGAGATTGTTAAAGAAAAAAATTAATTATTATTACCTTCTTAGTTTATCCAGCCAGTGCCCTTTGATTTCACCAAGTAGGTGAGTATCAGCTAAAATTATGGCCTTCAGGACTGAAGTTGAAGTCTCTTTTTTAGCTCCACTTTTCACTTCTGGCCATTGGCATTGAAAAATTACCACATAATAAATTAAAAATTCACAAAATATTAACACTGAACTGACATAGAACACAAGCTTCAGCAGGAAACAGAGCCTCTTCTTTAAAAGAAGGTTCTTCACAGTGGTTGTGCTAGAACTCAGCATTGCAGTACTGGCATAAGACTCTTCCCAATGGCTCAGTTCTCCTCTCCGGTGAAAACGTTAGGGGTTAGTCAAAGGATCATGTTGGGCTTCATATCAGCACAGAAACCCTGTAGATAAAATCAAAATAAAGTATTCATTAAGCCAGCATTCCCTGTGAAAAGCTGCCACGTAAGGCCTACAGTGTTAGATTTGGAAATGCTAAATTAACCTAAAAAAGCAAAGTTGGTCTTCTCCTTCAAGTACACAAATAGCCACGCCACTGAGTGCAGAACTGCACTCTCTCCTTCCAGGACCAAGGTAACCAGTTTTAAACCAGCCTGGATCTTGGTGCATGATGCTTTTTTTAAAACTAGACAGTGAAAACACTGTAACTAGAGGTCACAGGCAGGTAAAGATAGATTTTTAGGTTGAGTAGCAGAACATGAGGATGCATGCCACGTACAGCCACTTTCTGGCACAAATCACATAACATGACTACATCAAATCAATGCAATCACCACCTTTAATGCAGCTCGTTGTACTAATTTCAAAGAACCAAAAGCAATTTACTATCACAGAACAAGTTTACCAGAGCTTTCCAGGAATCCACGCATGGATACTTGACTAGTTAGCTAATGCTGCCTCATTTCTAATAAGGGGAAAACAGTATCTAAGCCTCAGAAACAGAAACTGTATAGCTGAAGAGAAATATGGGGAAAATAAGCTGAGGTTGGTAAGCTTGCTGTATTTACTGATTTCTTCCACCTTGGACAGTTCATAACCCAAACAAGGAACTTGGTTTTTGAAACTATAATATTATTTTCTGTCATTTTAAAGGCTAATCCAAAACATATCTCTTCACTCTGATAAGCCACAATTGTAACAGGGCTCATTGATTGCTTCTCTTGTTTACAGGCATTAAACAGAAACTCATTATTACTGGTGTAAGGAGGAAATACCCACACTTGCACAGTTCTGTTTCTTCTACAGTCCTTGGCAGAAACACTGTCACACTGTAAGTGGCAACAAGAAAAACAAGTATCACACCCAAGTGGACCGAGATACTAGCCCTTTACTTTCAAGTAACATTACTCAGGTTCAACACACACCCTCTCAGGGTTCCAAAGAATCACTTTTTAAAGGTAAACTGTAGCATGGTCATGGTAAAGAAGATTCCAGGAGAGCTATAAAGATGTTACTTCACATGCTCATGAACCAGCTTCTAGAGAAATCCACAAAGAAAAGTCTTGTCCCCCACCCAAGAATGGGACTGAAATTCTGCTTTCTACAACAGAGAAATTCTGACATAGGACTAATATCTAAGATGTTAGCAGTTACTGAACACAGCACTAAAACAGTGATTAGTTAGCAGCCAATTTTCATCTGAACTAATTCTGATTAGAACTGTGAATACTCAGTACCTCTGATCATTTAGACCCTAAGTGTTAGTAATAACTAGGACAAAATTACTGAACAACACAGAATCGTAGATCTTTTCTAAAATCCTGGTCTCAGTTACATGCAAAACACAGACCAAAACTTAAATTGCTTTCCTGCCCTGTGCCCTAGCCCATTTGACTTATGTCTCATGGAAATCAAAAACAGACATGTGATTATTATCCTATTTTTCCAACCAAAATATCTATTTGATAAATAGCCCCTTATTTTCAAACATGAATTTCCCATATCACCACTACAAAATACTTGTTCAAGACAAAGAACCATTAGTCTGCATCATGTAACATTTCTAGTATGCATTATTTAGCATTAGCATGACTAATACTTAATTGCATGCAATTCAGTTCTAGCTAAACTTTGTTTAGCAGGAGAAAGCCACTGGCCAGACGTCACAATTTCACAACACAGAAGAACTACACATAAAGGCTGACTAACTTGTTTAATATTAATCTCATCTGCACTTTAACTGGCAATAAAAAGGAATAAGATCTCGTTTGTACATCTCACAAGGCGAGATTAAAGCAGAAACACCTGTTCAACAGAGACAGCAACAAGGACAAAGAGACACGTAAATTCCTAACTAAGCACACAAATTCCTATGGCCTTATCCTGCACAAACAGCACCTACCCCAGAATTTAGAAGTAGACTTTGGTAGTCCTAGCCTGTCTACTCTTCCAACAAAAACAGGACTAATTTGAACAGCAAATGCCAGTAAGTTTTTTAACTTGCATTAGGCATGTATAAAAAACCCAAAACTCTAAAACCAAAAAACCCTATGATTCTTATTCCCAACCTACACAAAACTTAATACAAATAAAACCTGCTATTTTGATATCAGCATCTATGCATTCTCTAAAATGCTTTTCATTACATTTTTCACACATCAAATTTCTTCAGAAGCTGCTCAAACACCCAGAGGCAGCAAAACCCAGTGCTACAGATCAGTGGGGAGGAAAAAAAAAAACACAAAACAGATCTTCAGAAGCAAAATGATTCCATCAAAAGCAAAAAAACAAACCCCAAAACTGCAATTAATAGAAAATAAAAATATCTTCAAGGCAAAACTGTCATTTTCAGAAGTCACAAACAGCAACTGACACAATCAAAAGCACAGAGCCAGTCATTTCTACACACATTCCCTGTCCCAGCCTTTCTGCTACATAGCTGTTATTATTTTGGGAGCTGTGCCACAGATGTGGAAGATGCCAGAGGTCTCTCATCTGCACCCCACGTTTATAGCTTTCCTGATGGTGAAAGAAAAAAGAGGAAAGAGATAAAAAATGAAAATGAAACCACAGAAAGTCAGTGATGCAGAATGAGCTGAAAGACATTTACTTCTGGCTGACAGAAATCCCTGCCTACCTCCTCTCTGCCACCTGCCAGCCTGGCGCTGCTCGCATCCCAGCTGACCCCTTTTCTCAGGATTGCGGCTGTACATCACCATAACAGTAGCTTAAACAGAAACCAAGCACATGCAGTAGTAACCCGAACCTTCCATACGGGTACCCAAAGACCAGAGACTCGCATCCTCTCATGCATCATGGCAAGGTCAGAAACAATGCTGTCAGACTGCATGCACGCTGCAAGATGGAGCTGTGGTTCAGCGTGTCACTGCACAACACATTGCTACTCCTCCTGCTTTCACAGATTGATTACTAGGGTTAGACTAGAACCTGGTTTCTTGCTAGAGCTTGAGGATCTCAGTTATGATAAGAGACTGAAAGATTTCTCACTGCTTCTTGTTCTAAATACATGGCACCGGCCTGACTGAAAGCTGATTTTTAGAAGTTTTAAAAGCTCATCACAGAGCTGAGATCAATATCTTCAACATAGTATTTTAAATTGTTTGGGCAGAGAAAATACTCTGTAATGGCAAACAGCAGAAGTCTACTAGTCACAACAATTTGTATTCAGTCAGTACATACATTCTTTAGGCAGGGGAGAAATAACCTTCAGCTCTTCCTCACCTATATTTAAAAACCAGCCTGTGGACATTTACTGATTGATTTAATAATGTCACCAAAGTTTAAACATACTAGAAGTATAAATTTATATATCACAAAACTGTGAGGAAAAAATACTCAAGTGACTACTGCTCAAAATAAAAAGGTTTGGTACTTTTCTCCTCCATCACTTATGTTTATTTTGCTTACTATCAAATATTAGATACATTTTTGCATTTAAAAATACTTCCATCATACACACTACTGTGCTGATTCTCATCTGCCAAGTTTACTGGCAACACAGACTTGCATCACTCCTCCTCTTTCCCTTTCCCATCTCTGTTCAGAACATTATCCAGTTTTAATTTACAAGTGAGCCAAGAACGAACCAAGGGAAAACTGACAAAATGGTCTATACCCAGACCAAGAAGCAAGTACATATAGAGCTTTACCCTCACTTAGTGAATATGCAACTCTGAGCACCTCACATGCTTTGAAGCCCATTTACTCATTAACTTGCAACTACATAAAACTGTCCTAACAAACAGAGTGGGATACAAGAGTCCTAATCCTACTCCTAGTTCTAGTCCTATCTGTAATGATCATGCAAGTATTTTTAGTAAGCTAAAGAAGCTCTACTGGGTTATAAGCAAGCTTAGTATTTCTAAACTCACAGTAAAGTTTCCCTCAATTCTCCCATCACAGTGTCACAAAGGTACAGGTTTACAACTTCCAGGCAAATATAGTTCTATAATGGAACTATGTTAAACTTTTGCAAAATGCAGTAACAAACAAGTTTAGGTTCAAATCTCACAAGGTTTCCCTTCTGCAGGGCACACTTGCACCTAGAAACTGTCTCATCATTCCAAGTTCATTCTTTAAAATAATGTGATATTTCTACCTTGTGAACTGTGACTCTGCATTCCTGTTTCAGCACTTCAAACACCTTCACTCTTTAATAAAATAAGGGCTTCTGATAAATTCTTGTTTTGATACTGTAGGACAACTCTGTCTCATCTTTCTGAACACACTTTCAATTCTAATCCATAAATCTTTCCTTCATCCACAAATTTTAACCTATTTTTGTGATTAAAGAAAATCTCCAAGCAGGGATTTAGCATTTTTCTTTTAAGAAATGCCTTTTAAGAGATCTTTTTTAAGAAAGAAATCATCTTTTTTAAGAAAGAAATCATCTTTTTTAAGAAAGAAATCATCTTTTTTTAGAAAGAAATCATCTTTTTTAAGAAAGAAATCCCTAAGTTTGTAATAATTTAAAGACAGAATTAATTTGTTCCTGCACTGGCACATCCTTACAGCTGAAATTCATAAAGAATACCAAATCTACACATCTACTGTAATCATATATAGTTTATAAAAAAAGGATAAATTGGGAAGTTCTTCAAAAAAATACTAAGATTTTATCATATGGCCATAAACACTCACAACCACTCCTGCAACGGACACATTCTACAAGTGTGAAAGAGAGGTTTTGAAACTTGGTTGAAGTTATACAGACTACAGTTTATTTTAAAACCACATAAACAAAAAAATCACAGGCATAAAATACAAAAACATCCCAGAGCAGCTTGTCATATTAAGATCTTATTACTGAATCCATAATAGCATCAAAATGTGATATTACATAAGCCATGGTGGGTTTAAATGTTGCAGTAAGTATAAAAAACTGTGGGAAATCTACTTGCCATTAATCAGTAGTTACAAATGT